TTAATATCTTATAAATCTTTAAGGAAAGTAACTGTTGGAATAGGCCCAATATCCAAACAGGGCCCATGCGTAACGGGCTTAGGTGGCCACCCAGGCCCAACATCCAAACAGGGTTATGCATAACGGGCCTAGGTGGCCACCCTTCAGCCCAAGCTAAAAGGGGCACCGTACCAGCATGCTCAAGTGACCAGCACCACGTGGTCCAATGTGATGCTCACACGTACAGGTGCAGGTCAGCACTTGGGGGTTATAAATACCCCCCAACTGCCTCCTATGAAGGTAATTAATCTCTACACTTCTCTCTCTGCAATTACTCCTTGAGAGTCTCTCTCTCTAGACTATTGAGTATTGCTGACTTGAGCGTCGGAGTGTTTTCCCCGAGGAAACAACCTCAGGATTTTCAGGTATAGGAGTAGCTAAGGACTTCAACAGTGTTGGATTGCGAAGCTGCCCAAACATTTGGCGCCGTCTGTGGGAACTGAACAAGAAGTTGTGTGGCTTAACTTGCTAAAAGATAATATGGTTCGTACCTTTACAGGAGGTCGCCCTCCAAGAAATGAAATGGACGAACAGGAGGACGCTCAAGTATCTGAGCCCGGCTTGAATGACTTTAGGCCAATGCCAAGAAACCTTTTTGTTGGGGGAGCCGAACAGGATCACCTAAGTGAAACAGATGATGAAAGAACACCGACTGGGTATGCAACCCAGCCTGAACAGTTCCAAGTTCCAACAGGAACAAGACAAAGACCCTCTAGACCATACAATCCACAGCATGGATGACCCGAAAGGTCAACAGAACCTGCTCGGACAACCGAGCTCGAAGAGAGAACTAGAGTTCTCGAAATGGAAATGGGTAAAATCCTTGCCCGTTTGATTCCTGATGACCCCTTGATTCCTTTGCTGAACAGGGATGCACAACCAGCTGCGGTTGTTGTAACTTGAAACTCCCCCGCCCTAAGCAACATAGTAGTGCCGACCAGGCCAAGAAAAAGCGGGAAGCTAAACCTCGAGCCCAGCTCGTCTAAACATAGTGAAGAACTGATGAGAAAGAATGCAGACCTTGAAAGACAGTTGCGAGATGTACAAAAGTCTATTGACGAGCTGAAAAGTCCCAGGTCGCACCAACAGACCCTGGACTTGGATAGTGCTCCACTAAACTTATCCATTACAGCAGAGCCCTATCAAGAGGGATTCAAAATTCCCCACCTGGAGACATATGATGGCTCAGGTGACCTCGATGAACATCTGCACACTTATCAAGCCATCATGAGAATTCAAAATGCAAATGATGCCATGATGTGCAAAGTGTTCCCGGCAAGACTCAAGATAACAGCTAGGAGATGGTATCATAAACTCCCCAAACACTCCATAGATTCTTATTTCCAGCTCGCCAAGCTGTTCTCCAACAAATTTGCAAGCCAAAGGGAGATTAAGCGCACGGCGACCGAGCTTATGCAAGTTCATCAGAAAGAAGGGAATCTTTGAGGGATTACATGCAACGATTCAACAAAGCCACTTTAGACATTGATAACGTCCCAGATACCATCTGCTTGTCCGCTTTGCTGCATGGTTTAAAGCACAGTCGGTTACTAGACGACCTGCTCGAAAACCCACCGAAGACGTGGAATGAAGTGAACGACAGGTCGACTAGCTTCATACTGTCCAAAGATTTTCAATCGTCCAAGCGACGAGTTGACGATAAGCAGAGCAAAGGCCACGAGCAACTACCGAGGAGAGAAGAAAAGAAAAAGCAAAAGGTCAGCGAACAGTGGGGGAAGTTGGCTGATTTTCCAAAGTATGCCAACTACATTCCTTTAACCCTGCCAAGGTCTCAAATCCTTGCGCAAATCCAGCACTGGGTTAGAAGACCTCCACCCCCACAGTATGAGTCCCTAAGGGAGGACAAGAGCAAGCATTGTGACTATCATCGTACTTATGGTCACAACACAGAAGACTGCCAACACTTGAAGGACGAACTGGAGTTCTTAGCTCACAATGGGAAGCTAGAGGGATATGTTCAGAAACCTCACGCCCAACAACCCCTTCAAACTCATTTTGTACACAGGTATGACCGACCACAGGGGCAGGGGAACCAGCCCGGCGGGGCACAGAATGCATATCAGGATAGCCAGTATCCTTTTGACCAGGGCAGGACATACAGGGGACGCCCGTTCAACAGGAGAGGACAGGGGCAGAGAGCTGCTGCCTTGAACCAAAGAGATAGGAAAGGGGTAGGCTATGTTGGAATACCCCCGCCCTCGGGAACAATAAACATGATATCAGGTGGTGTTCACTCTGGGGGCCAAAGCGCCCGAGCCCGTAAGGCATATGCCCGGCAGATGATGACTGTCAACAAAAACAGACCCTTGAAGCGGCCGTTTGAGGAAGCAGAATGGGAGAATACACCTATCAAATTCAGCCCGGCAGATTACAAGCGAGTAGAAGGAGTGCCTGGCATTATGATGCCCCATGCAGATCCCTTTGTGGCAACGGTTCATATAGGCAATCATAATGTCAAGAAGGTGTTTATTGATACTGGCAGCTCACCAGATATTTTATACTGGAGCTGTTTTCAAAAGATGCAGCTGAATCCGGACTCACTACAGAAGTATGAAGGGCCCATATACAGGTTTGATAATCAGCCCGTCCCGGTCGAGGGAGTTAAAACTCTTCCTATATATGTGGGCTCAGAACCATGCTTCAGAATGGCTTCCGTCACTTTCCTGGTTGTTAAGATGGAATCAGCTTTTAATGCTATATTAGGAAGAGCCACCCTGTGCGAGCTGAGGGCTGTCGTCTCACAACCCCATCTTTGCATGAAATTCCCAACTCCTCAGGGGGTAGGGGTGCTTAAAGGAAATCAAAAGATGGCCAGAGCCTGCTATCAAGATACTTTCAAAAAGGTTGAGCACGCTGCTGCCCCTTCAGGCTCCGAAAATTGCAGACCAACCCAGCTCGGTTAGCAAACGATGAGCATATCAAATATCGAGCACCGACCTGATGGTGTCGAGCAGAAAGCAGAGCCAGTAGAGCCAGTAGAAACGGTTCCTTTAAACCCAGATGTGCCAAAAAGGATGGTTAAGATCGGCACTAAGCTCACAGAAGAGGAACGTGCAGAGCTTCTGGAGTTTTTAAGCAGTAATCAGGATGTGTTTGCATGGACTACGGATGAAATGCCTAGCATCCTAGCGGAGTTGACAGTCCACAAGCTCAGCACGGACCCCACCAGAAGGCCGGTGGTGCAAAAACGCCCCCTTTTTGGCCTCGAGAAGCAAGCTGCCATAAACAAAGAGATACAAAAGTTGCTACAGGCAGGCTTCATCAGAAGAGTGGAGTACTCCGAGTGGGTGTCCAATCCCGTGCTCGTGAAAAAACCAAATGGCAAGTGGAGGATGTGCATTAACTTCACCAATTTGAATGAGGTGTGTCCAAAAGACCCTCATCCCTTGCCAAATGTGGAAAACTTAGTAGAGCGGGTAGCTGGGCATGAACGGATGAGTTTTCTTGATGCCAGCTTGTGTTACCACCAGGTCCAGCTGTTGCTAGACGACCAGGAAAAAAAAGCTTTTTACACTGGTGACGTAATCTACTGCTATGTCATGATGCCGTTTGGCCTCAAAAATGCTGAAGCAACATACCAGAAGCTGGTGCAAATCATCTTTAAGCTCAAGATCGGCAGAAACATAGAAGTGTATGTAGACGACATGATAGTCACCAGCGTTTGAGCTGGCGATCACATTGACGAACTGGACGAAACTTTTCAAAACTTGCGCCGAGCCCAAATGAAGCTGAATCCCTTGAAATGCACGTTTGCTGTGGAATTAGGGAAATTCTTAGGGTACGTGGTATCCAAGAAAGGAATCGAAATAAATCCAGAGAAAGTCCAGGCCGTTCAGCAGATGGAGCCTCCTAAGACTATAAAAGATGTACAGCGTCTGACAGGTCGGGTAGCTGCGCTGCACCGGTTTATAGCCAGATCGGCAGAAAGGTGCCTTTCGTTCTTCAAAACTCTGTGAGAGCCTAAAAACTTTCAGTGGACTGATAAATGTCAACAAGCGTTTGACGAGCTCAAACAATATCTGGCATCAGCACCCTTGCTGTCCAAACCTGTCGATGGGGAATGTTTATATCTTTATCTGGGAGTCACAGAAGAAGCGGTGAGTTCAGTGCTACTGAGGGAAGAGAATAAGAATTAGAAGCCTATCTGCTACGTGAGCAAGGTGTTACAAGGTGCCGAGCAGAACTACCCGCTTGTAGAAAAGGCTGCTTTTGCTTTAGTCTGCACAGCTCGTAAGCTGAGAGCTTATTTCTAGTCTCATCAGATTGTTGTCTATACCGATTTACCATTAAGAAAAATACTGCAGAAACCTGAGCTCTCTGGTCGGCTTATTGGATGAAGCGTCGAGCTGAGTGAATATGACCTGAAATTTCGGCCGCGTACAACTATAAAAGGCCAGGCCGTTGTGGACTTTCTGGTGGAGTGCATCTCAGCAACTAAGGAAGAAAAAGCACCCGAACACCCAGTGTGGGTTTTGTACGTAGATGGAGCTGCTAGTGTTGAAGGATCGGGGGCTGTGGCTGTGTTAGTGGGCCCAGATGGCTTTAAGTCCGAGCATGCACTGAGGTTCAAGTTTCAGACAACTAACAATGCTGCCGAGTATGAAGCCCTTATTTATGGTTTAAAGCTGGCAGCCGAGTTGAAGGTACAGAACATCCAAGTCTTCAGCGACTCTCAGCTCGTCGTAGGCCAAGTGAAAGGCAGCTGTGAAACCAGGGATCCACAGCTTGGTCGCTATGCCTCTGTGGTAAACAAATTAAAGTCAAGATTTGCTTCTTTTCAGATCAACAAAATACCCAGAGCAGATAACCAGCGAGCTGACGAGCTGTTAAAGTTAGCCTCATCGCAAGAGACCAACCCTCATCGGCCAACAACAGTGGAGGTACTCGATGCTTCGAGTTATACCTATTTCACAATCGAGTGTCAGTTGCTTAGCACGGATCCCTCTTCGCCGAGCTGGACTACCCCACTCATAAGTTATCTGCAAAGTGGCGAATTACCCGAAGATCTATCCGCTGCGAAGTTGATTAAACGTAGGGCGGCACATTTCACTTTGTTAGATAACCAGCTCTACAAACGAGCAGCCTCAATGCCTCTACTACGCTGCCTTACTCCTTACGAAGCTGAATACGCTATGAGGGAAGTTCATGAAGGAGTATGTGGCACGCACATCGATGGCAAAACGTTAGCTCGGAAACTCTTGAGGCATGGTTATTACTAGCCCACTATGGTCGAGGATGCGTAGAACTATGTCAAAAAATGTCCGACCTGCCAGTTCAATGCTGATGATATACACATGCCAGGTATCTGAGCCTGTTCCGAAGATCATGCAAACTTCCTGTTTGTTTATAAACTGAGCATAAGTATCTTCCTTGAAACAGGGGAAATGCGATCATCTCTCACGTCTCCCTGGCCCTTTGCTCAATGGGGTGTCGACCTGCTCGGCCCTTTCATCAAAGGCAAAGGAGGCTGCACTTTCCTGGTCGTTGCAGTGGATTACTTCACTAAGTAGATAGAAGCTAAACCATTATCCACGACAACAGAAAGGAAAATAGAAGATTTCTTGTTCAATTCAATATTTTGCAGGTATTCTTTGGTGACTTAGGTCATAAATAAATTATATGCAAACGTGGTTTGTAGCTCAGCTTGGTCATCTATGTGCAGGTTCGGCATACCTAAACGGATTATCGCCGACAATGGGCCACAGTTTCGAGCAGCAGCACTAAGATCGTTCTGTAACGACTATGGCATCGAGCTCGCCTTGACATCCGTGTATACTCCACAGTCTAACGAACAAGCCGAGTCGGCCAACAAAATCGTCTTATGAGGCCTCAAGGCACGTGTTGTAGCTGCACATTCAAATTGGGTTGACGAGCTCAATAAAGTGCTCTGGTCTTGTCGTACTACACCCAGCTCGGCCACGGGTGAAACCCCTTTCAGCCTGGCCTATGGAGCTGAGGCTGTCATCCCAATTGAGGTTGGATTGCCATCTGATCGAGCGGGCTGGCGTGACGACCTCAACAATGAGCAACTGTTGAGAGAAAACCTAGACTTAGTGAAAGAGGTCAGGGAGATGTCTAGAATAAGAAACATGGCGCATCAAAGTCGTGTTGCAAAATTTTACAACAAAAGAGTTCGAGCTCGCCAGTTTCAAGTCGGCGATCTGGTCCTACGTAAAGCTGGGTTAACTAACACTCATTCACACATGAGCAAGCTCGCTCCTAATTGGGAAGGCCCCTATATGGTTATTCAAGTTAAACCACATGGCTCTTATGTATTAGCAGATATACGGGGACGTCAATTGCCTTACATTTGGAACATACAGAATCTTAGAAAATTTTACAGTTAACCTGTATACTATTCTTTTATTCAAGTTGTTATTCGACAGTTGTAAACAATGATATACCAAAAATACAACAAAAATTCAAAGGAAAACTCATTTTTGTATTTCATCAAAGATGTTTACATTGAAGGTACATATGATATGAATCCATTGATCAAATACAAAAATGCAAAAGCGAAATACAAAAGATCAAAAGAAAAACCCTAAATCTAGTCATCCGTCAGATCGACGGGCATAGATGCATCAGCAGCAGCTGCAGGAGAGCGAGCTGGAGTAGACCGATCTGCGGGCTCAGAGGCTGGTGCGCTGACGGGCGAGCTAGCTGGCACCACAGCAGGCTGAGAGTTGGGTGGGGTGCTTGAAGGTTCCTGCTCAGCTACAGGAGCACCCTCTACCCATGCGTCAAAGGAGGGTAGCCCTGTTGGATCCTCCCCGTCCACAAGGACCTGAGGAGGCTAAACAGGCACTCCCTCCTCGTTGAGGTCCCACATCAACCGTACCGTGGCGTCGACAAGGGGAGCAAGACTCTTCTTCTGCTTGTTCAGGTCCTCCCCGTCAACGAACACCAGTTCGCCAATCGGGAAGTCCGGGCAGTGTTGCAGCACCTTTCCACGGATCTCGTTGTAGATCTCCATGGTTACATTTGCAGACGCCACCGCCACGGCGTCCTGAAACGTAGCCGAACCCACGAACCATTCCGCCCCTTGAGCCCGGGCAATGCTGACAGAGCGTGCATGGGAAGTCTTCAGCTCGTTCAGCGCCTCCCCGGTAGCAGTAAGGTTCCGGTCCACCTCGGCGACCTGGTGCCTAAGGGAGCTCAGCTCGTGCTGAGCACGGTCCCTATCGGCCTCAGCCTTCTTCGCCCGTTCCTCAATCCTGGCGGCCTCGTCCTTCGCCACCTGGATTCTGCTCTCTTTTTCAGCTCGAGCGTGCTCCAACTCCTCCCTGAGCTCATTATTCCGGTGGGCGAGCTCGTCCGCCGGCTCTCGGCAGCCGCAGCCCGGTTTGCCATTTCAGAGCCTTGCAGACGATTCACATCGTCCACAAGGCTAGCCTTCTCAGCAGCCAGCTGTTTGCATTTTGAACCGAGCTCGCCGTTCTGTGAACGAGCCTCCTGCTCACTCTCGTAGAGCGCTATAGCGTAGCTGAATGCCTGCCAAACAGCAACAATTGTAAGTACCTAGTAAGGAAAAATAAAACACTTAAGCAAGTACGAGCAAATACTTACATCCATCAGTTTGAACATGGCGACTTGGCCGCCATGTTACTGCACAAAAGCTTTTGCCCGCCGACTATCCGCTGGGGGCACAAAACTGTGCATGGCTTGCACCATGGCGGGCTGGCACTCCGCCCGCACATAACTGAAGCCCTCAGGATAAGCAATCCTGGGGCCCAACATCGAAGCCGATGCAGAGCCGGGCTCTATTGCATCCCGCGCAATCACTGATGGTGCGTTGGGTGAACGCACGGTTGCAGGACGGGCCACCTGCGCGGGCTAAGTCCCCCCCCTTGTTCTGCGCCGAGCAAGGGGGACCTCATCTTCTTCGCTCTCAGTCTCCTCGCGTGCACGCCTACGTGCACTCGGGGCCGCAGCATCAGCTCTGTGTTCAGCCCGCGGCCTAGATGCCGAGCTGGACCCTCGATGGGACGAGCTGCGCGATTGAGGCGCGGCTAGCGGTCGCTCGTCTGACCGCGTCTGTCTCTATGTGGTGCTGCTCGGCCCGCGGTCGCGGGAGCTCTGTGCTCGTAGACGTTGGCGTTCGAGAATGCTGCTCATTTCTCCTACACAAAAAAATGCATAAGACTCAGCCCGGCTAGAATTCATACCATATGAGAAAAATATACCTTCTGTGAACAGGTTTGCCACGTCGACAAACCCGAACACGGCGAGCAGCTCCGGGGTAACCAGGGCCTATAGATCTACTAAATTTCACGTCTTGCGTGCTCTAACAGTCGTTTCTTGAGGTCCGTGTCCCGTGGCAGCAGTTGGGGATAATTCACGTGCGCATTTGGCGTACGCCATTCCGCTAGTCGGGCAGTGAGGTCATTGCTTACCCTCTCTGTTCGCGTGTCGCGAAAGAAAATGAACTGCATTTTCCACCGCGCCACTTTATTCCTTACGTTTTTGAAGAGCTGGCTCTTGTCCCTCCTAGAGAGGTAGTACCACTTCTCTCCTTTTGCGTCGGACACAACCGGCACTGGAACAGCGACCTGAACACTATCGCCTTGGCTGGTACCTCTAGTCTCGCACACAACAGCATAAAGCCCACGATGAACCTGATGCTGTTGGGCGTCAGCTGCGTCAAAGGCAGCTCGTAGTCTGCAAGCAGGTCGAATACCAGTCCGGGCAAGGGAAATCGCAGACCAGCGTCGAAATGATCTGCATACACAGGTATCCAGCCCGTCTGCAATACCGAGCAAGCCCTCTCGTTCTGCCCACCAGTTCGCACCAATATTGTCCTGGGGATTTGGTATTCCCTTATCATCTCCTCCAGCCTCTTGTACCCACTTATTAAGGGCGCGTTGTCCGCTACTTCGTGATGAAGCGCCGCCCTGAATCTAAATCCGGCAAGCAGATCCTTAGGAGCCTTGCGTATGTTACTCAGTCTGCCCGGGAGTACCTTATTCTCCCATTCTCCAGCCGCGGGCAGACCCTGTTCGTTACCACCTACGTTCTCCGGCTCTTTCTCATGATTTGACGAATCCCCAGAAGGCGAGCTGCTGGACGGTGAAGCGTGGTGGCCGTCACCATTATCTCCGGCGCTTGAACCGGCGCTGCTCTCTGGCGTCATTGTCTCCGGCAAATCCTGCAGACACGATGGTACTATCATCACGATAGGTTCCGCGGCAATCACCCCCTCTTCTTCCTCCCCACCCTGGTTACCCCGTAGCTCTCTCAATTCTCTAAAGAAATCCATTTTTACCTTTTGAATGATGTGCAAAGTGATGACCTTATGCTCTGTTCTTCAAAACCCAAACGTTGTGCTGCAGAGAAACTCGTTGAACTTACACAAGCAATGAAATGAAAATGGAAAAGGGAATGGTTACGATAGAAACAAAACCAAAATGGCCGTGTTAAATGCCGTACGCGTGTCTCTGATGCGTCAATAGGCGTCTCACACATGGTAGGCGTTTAACCGCCTTTTGCATAACGTGCGCCGCCTTTGGCTGTCACGTTCCTCAAACGCTGCGCCAGCATTTATGGCGAGGAAGGTAAAGAGATACGGAAGAGCAAGCGTATCTCCTCAGAGATCTAGTCAGAGACGGTTGATTAAAAAATCTCCCAAGATTCAGATCGGCCAAGACTCAGGTCGGGCAAACGTATCTCCTCAGAGATCTGGTCAGATGGTGACACGTTTTATTTGGTCGCTACATGAAGGCCAGCTCGTCCAAGGTCAAAAATTGGCACTGCCTATTCGGCCATCTCAAATCGTTCTGCAGGTGAGGTCGTCTCATCCCAAGTAGTCCACATTTACCAGGTCGTCACAAAAGTGACTGCTTGTCCAACGTCGTAAATCATTTGCTATAATTCAGATCGTAGCAAGTTGATCTGTTTCTTTTCACAATCCATCCTAGCCCGTCACGGTATCCAAATTTATTAGCTCGATTACATGCGTGGCAGCTCATGAAAAATCTTAGACGTAATCAAGTCTTAGATCGTTCTGGGGGAGAGGCCGCTCCTTCTCGGCTCGTCATTATGACTGACCGACAGCATCATCCGGTCGCTTCAGTATCTTTGGTAGTAGTCATGGATCAGGTCGTTATACGTTCCCTTACTCGTCGAAATAGCAAGTAGCACCTTGTACGCATGACTATTCACTGGGCGAGCTCATCTGTCCTGAGCCACTTCAGATCGCTGTTATATCAGGCCCGCACTAATATGGTTATAGATGCTTTCAGCTCGCCTGCACACTCTCAGCCTCGTGAGCTCGCCCCTTTTCGTACAACCCTTAGCTCGGCCGTCATCCAGGTCGGCCACAAGCTGTTAAAGCTCTGTCATTGTCACTAGTTAGGGCGCGAGCCCACAGACACCCCCAGCCCAGTTCGTCAACCGAACGCCAGAGGGGGAGTAATGTTGGAATAGGCCTAACATCCAAATAGGGCCCATGCATAACGGGCCTAGGTGGCCACCTAGGCCCAACATCCAAACAGGGTTATGCATAACGAGCCTAGGTGGCCACCCTTCAGCCCAAGCTAAAGGGGGCACCGTACCAGCATGCTCAAGTGACCAGCACCACGTGGTCCAATGTGATGCTCACACGGACAGGTGCAGGTCAGCACTTGGGGGTTATAAATACCCCCCAACTACCTCCTATGAAGGTAATTAATCTCTACGCTTCTCTCTCTGCAATTACTCCTTGAGAGTCTCTCTCTCTAGACTATTGAATATTGCTGACTTGAGCGTCAGAGTGTTTTCCCCGAGGAAACAACCTCGGGATTTTCAGGTATAGGAGCAGCTAAGGACTTCAACAATGTTGGATTGCGAAGCTGCCCAAACAGTAACTAACAATAAGATTAAACAATGGTGAACCAACCCTTCGAATCTAATAATTTATTCTCAAGTTTTAATATTGAGATTTAGTTAGTTAAAAATTTAACTTTCATTAACAATTTGAAAAATTCTTCAATTTTCAAAAATTTCCCAATGTTTAATAATAATAATAATAATAATAATAAGATCAGACTATGGAAAAAAAAGACTTGATATGATAACTTTGAAAAGATAGGAACAAGTATTTATAGGGTTATTTGGGATTTTGATTTGAAATTAATTAGTTAATAATTTTATTTAATTTGATAGTTAATAATTATTCTTTAGATTGATAGTGATGGGTCTGCCCAAAGTAGGTTGGATAGATTTCTTCTTTCTGAAAACTTTCAAGAGGCTTGAGGTGACTGTGTTCAAATAGCTTTCAAGAGAAGCATAAGTGATCATTGCCCTATTAGTCTTAGCTCAAGCAATGCCAATTGGGGGCCTAGACCATTTAAGTCGATTGACAGTTGGACTTCACATCATGAATTTGGTAAAATGATACAAAGTTTGTGGAACTCCTTCCAAGTTGAGGGATATTGGGGTTTCAAATGTAAAGAAAAGCTAAAGGCTCTCCGAATGCACCTGAAGCAATGGAACAAGGATGTGTTTGGTAATATTGATAGCCAACTAGATGAAGCCTTAAAGAATATTGAGGCTATTGACATCAAATGTGAAGGCGAGGATATTACAAAGGATGATATGCTCAAAAGGAAGGAGGGAATTGAAAACCTTTGGCAATGTTTAAAGAAAAAAGAAAGTTTGTGGAGGCAAAAGTCTAGAGCTAGTTGGATTAAAGATGAGGATGCAAACTCTCGTTTCTTTCATAGAATAACAAATGGGAGAAGGCAGAGAAATATGATTCATGGTGTTGATGACAAAGGAACCTAGATTGATGATCCTGATCAGGTTAAGTTAATCATCTTGGACCACTTTAAAAATCAATTTTCCTCCCAACCTCAAAATCGATCATCTTTGGAGCATATGTTCTTTAACCGCTTATCTAGAAAGGACAGAGAAATGTTGGAGGCTGAGTTTACTAATGAGGAAATCCAAGAAGTAGTCTTCTCTTGTGCAAGTGACAAAGCCCTTGGACCTGACGGTTTCAACTTCCACTTTATAAAGTCTGTATAGAGCACTATTGAAGGAGATATCACTAACTTCATCAAAGAATTTCACAAGTATGGAAGGTTGGTCAAAGGTATCAATGCTTCATATATCACCCTTGTTCCCAAGAAGAAAAATCCCACGACTTTGAAAGAGTACAGGCCGGTTAGTATGGTTGGGAGCCTTTATAAAATTTTAGCTAAAGTTTTTGCTAATAGGCTACGGAAAATCATTGGAAAGGTTATCAGCATGACCCAATCTGCTTTTCTAGAGGGAAGGCAACTTATTGATAGTGTCTTGGCACTCAATGAACTGGTGCATGATTTCAAAAGAAGGAAGGAAATGGGCATCTTGTTTAAGGTAGACTTTGAAAAGGCTTTTGACTCAGTTGACTGGGATTACCTTGATTCTATGCAGTCTTCCTTGGGGTTCGGAGACAAATGGCGTGGGTGGATTAAAGAGTGCTTAACTTCTGCATCTATTTCAATTCTTGTTAATGGGAGCCCCACGCAGGAATTCAAAATGCAAAAAAGGCTTAGGCAAGGTGACCCCCTTTCTCCTTACCTTTTTTTAATAGTTGCTGAAGGTCTGCATGCTCTTGTTCATGAAGCTGAAAAGAAAAATCTCCTTACTGGTATAGTTGTTGTTAGAGATTTATCTGTTTCCCACCTCCAATTTGCTGATGACACTATTCTCCTTGGGGAAGCTTCTCTTAAGTCAATCAGAGCATTCAAATTTATCTTTAGATGGTTTGAAATTATCTCAGGGATTAAAATAAACTTCAGCAAAAGTACCTTGTATGGTATTAATATTGAGGAGAATTGACTTAATATGGCTGCCTCTACCCTTAATTCAAAGTGTGAGCACCTGCCCTTCCTTTTCTTAGGACTCCCTGTTGGTGGCAACCCTCATCATCTCAGATTCTGGAAACTAGTGGTTGAGAAGTTCTAGTCTAAGTTGGCAACTTGGAAGGGAAAGCTTTTATCATTTGGAGGACGCATCACACTCCTCACGTCGGTACTTTTGGCTCTCCCTCTTTTTTACCTTTCTATTTTTAAGGTCCCTAAAGGTGTTGTTAGTGAGTTAGAGAAAATAAAAAAAAAACTTTGGTTAAACCCCTATTTTGGTCCCTGAACTATTGTACGGACCCCCGATTTGGTCCCTAAACTAAAGAAATCCCTAATTTGGTCCTTGAACTATTGTACGGACCCCTGAGTTGGTCCCTAAACTATTGTACGGATCCCTGAATTAGTCCCTAAACTATTATACGGATCCCCAATTTGGTCCCTACTGTTTACCAATTTAGCCCCAACTTGGTCCTTCTGGGTTAAATGCTAGATTTGGTCCCTCAACTTTAGTGGTTTGCACATTTTTGGTCCCTTAACAATTTTTTGCACTTTTTTGATCCCTTAACTATACGAAATGCACTCCGTTAGTCCTTCTGTTAGATTGAGCCGTTAACCCTGCTTAGGTGGTATTTTTTATATTTTTTTTGATGATGTGGAGAGCAAAATTTAAAAAGATGATGATTTGCGTAACACTTTTGTCATGTCACATGCCACATGGCGAAACCGCACTAAATCCATTCAATGGGTCCCACATCACCATTAAGAATTGCTTCTTTCCCCATCGATTACTGTTTTTATTCTTTTCCGGTGCGGTTTTTATTCTTTTCCGGTGCTCTTTCCATTTTTAAGATTTAAGTTCGACAGAAT